AATTTTATAAAAGGTTTAAAAGGCTTGGTCAACAAGGCCAGTTTGACAAATGCCCCGTGAAATTATGCCAAAAAGTATACACGGTCGTGTTTCAGCACCAATTAGTGCTATTTGTGTAAGTGCTCCAACTTCTTTTAGTAGTGTATAACATAAGCCCAAATATACTTCTTATGAGCTCAAAGTCTTTCATTGACCATATCAACATCACATTGATTTTCTAGTTTTTTTTTTCCGAGGTGGGTTTAAGTAAATCAAAATAAATAAAGTTTTACATGGTTGTAAAGAATTTGATTCATTTGAATTTTTAGAAAATAGATCGAAATACATTCTTAACTTTGTGAGAATAGAACTTAATTTGAAGTTTTTTTATTGCAAGACTTAATTTGGTGGTCTACAAACATGCAAAGGAATAACTTATTTATTTATTGATATATTCATATCTTGAATATTTATCATGCCTGAAAAATCGGGTGTCACACTGAATACCACTTAACAGTTCATGAATTATCAATTTAACGACTTTTAAGTTATTGAATGGTTGTTACTTATCCGTTTTTAGTTTTGACCCTACATGCGGAATTAATCAATCAAAAGCAACAAGTCACTTTTAATTGTTTCTAGATGATTAAGCATACGAGTCCAATAAACCTATGTTGAACTGCCGCAATAATAAGGAAAACAGTAAATAACACAATATTGATGACGGAGAAACCCAACTAGGCAAAAACTTTGAGACTAGACCAGTTACCTCTACTATAGACAATACGGAGTGAGTTACAGTTAGATACTATCTGGCCAACTCCACTAGACTTCCCGATCTATTTCCTGCTAACTCCAAAGTCTGTTCCAAGATCTTCTGCAATTGTCTCTTCCAAATGGAATTCCAAAAACTTGCTCTAAGACCATGTGTTCTTCCTGGACTTGTAGTTTAATTTCTCTCAACCTCCAGCAACCTCTAAAGTTTAACTGAGAAAATGTCTTCCGAAAAGTGTTTAGGAAGTAGATGTTATGGATTCACAATATTATTTAGACTGTGACAACTCAACACACTTTTACGCTCATGGCTGGAAATGCTTCAAGAATTCTTGAATTGGTTCACGAATCTGATTTATTCTAGAGATCAACTTGTGTTGAATGCGCATTTCTTGATGCTCCTAATTAAATTTTTTGATGCAAGATCTAGAGTTTGAATTCAAAAAAATAAAGTGATGTCTTTTCACATTGGACTTGTTCATATGCATTCATTAACCAACTGTATCAAAGACTTCCACCACATGAATTTCTAACAGTTCTAGCTCCTGATGGATTTAAATGAAAATCAAATTTTTAATAAAAAATGAGGAAATGTGTAATTAAAAAATTGTGAATTTTATAAAATATATAGTTTAAATTAATTTTTGATTTGAACTTAGATTTTAATCAACTTTTCAAGTTGAACCAAATTGAATGCTCACGAGTGCTCAATTTATAATATATATACTTGTGCAGTTACCTTGTTTTTATTTTACTTTTCTTAATGAAATTATGCTCCCACTAATTTACTTTCCACACTGCATCATTTGACACTATTCACTACTTACTATTGTGCATACGTTAACGCCTTGTCATGTACAAGTTTAAAATAATTGATAATTTTGAACTACGAGCCATATAAAATGCATTTTTTTGCCTAAAAATGGGATTCAAACTAGGGCTAAATATTATGTCCTTGTTTGTCTCTCCATATTATATAATACATTTTTCATCAAAATCATTTTCAATCACATTCTCCTATTTTTGCAAAAAAACTCGTCACTTTTCTTAACTTTTTAACTAAATTTTTTGCGCATTTAACACATCATAACTTGTACGAATTTGAAGTAATTCGATAATTCTAAATCTTGAATTACATGAAAAAGTAAATGTAATTTTCATGTTTACAACAAATGCATACATAACAAGAACTTATATTGACGGAAAGCTATGTCCAATCACCGTGTTGTTAAAATCCAAGATAAATCTTAATTCTCGAGCTTAGAAATTAACCAAACGAACACCACAAGAACCAAGGTTTGACCCAAAAACTTCCAAACCTTCTACACTCCGGTTGCCACAAGTTTTACACCCGCTAAGGATGACGATGGTGATTGATTTGCAAGCCACGAAGGAAGGAGAGAATAGAAGAAGCAATGGTTAAATTCACCTTTCCCCCAAATCGACTACCTCACGTTTTCTCTCTTTCAAGCAAAATCAACTCACAAAAGAAAATGTCTGGAAAGGATACATATATAGCATACAATTCGGTCACATATGAGCCAAAGTCACTCTCCTCTCCAATGGGCCAAGACTCCAAAGGCTAAATGGGCTACCATATATCACCACTAAATCCAACTCAAACTTAAGCCCTCCAAAAGTGTATTAATTGTTTTCGAGTCAAGCTGTCACTTTGGTGTCAATAAAATATTCGATATCGGTTTATCGTCATCGTCTGGATTTATTGGGTATTAAAACCCCACAAATTTCCACCTTGATACCCAATCAACCTGCAATCAATCAAAACACAAAGTTTATATGGCATGATCAAGGTAACCAAATAAAATTGGCATCACATACATTACCTCGTGTCTCGGACCTGAAACACTTACCAAACTTACTTCATATACTCACTATGGCTAAGGTCAAGAAACACCCAAGTAGAAACAAATAATCATAGTAATCAATCAAGAGCATATCATACATGCGATGAAGATATATCATAGAATAACACGGATCTTTTCAAAACACATTCACACAGAACAACAGACTAACACCAAGTTAATCGATCAAATGATCAAACACATATGCAACAAATGCATAAATGACCCCATGAAAAGATCTCATCACATTTATCCTATCTCATTCTGTGTTGCTTGCACCTCGAAAGCACGTATCTCCTTTCTTCGTCCACCATGCTCACTGACAAAACACTAACAAAATAGGTCTAACGGTACATCACAATAGATTCTAAGTTCACAGGATAATCCTCTATCACCACCCCCACTTCTCCCAACCTAGGTGGATATTAGATCTCTACCTTACAGAAGTGATAAAAGTATCACTCTCACACTCCACCTGATCAAGGTCTTCACAGATAAAAGATTCTAACAGTTAATCATTCATCCACTCGTGATCCAAATGTCACACTCAATATCCTCCATACGTACTATAATCCACATTACGAATAGACATCCTCACACTTACTATTAATTCATCTCAAATCACTATGGCAAAAATCAACACATTTAGCGACCACAAAGGTTAGGGCACAATTTAAATTTATTTACGCACAACAATCTTACCCCAACACCAATGCTCAAAAAAGGTCCACAAAGGATTTATCTCACAAAGGGAAAGGTGAAGTGGCACTCACAAAAAGAATATAAGAAATAGTTGGTTACTTCACTACACTCACAAAATAGACTCACAAAAAGGAAGAAGATAACCCACACATGGCTGCCCCATATAATCCCACAAACCACACAGGTTCACAAAGATAAAGGAGAAAATGGTTGCACCTCTTTCTTCTCGATACCACACTCTCCGCCACTCACAAAGAAAAATGAGTATGTCATAGATCTCAATCCACTATGCATGTAAAAATATTACACAAAAGTAATAAGATCACTCTCAATTCATGCAATTTCACACATCAAATATATTAAAAGTATAACATATAATCATGCAACAAAATTAAGCAATCTTATACATGCAGA